TTTTTCCCTCCATAAAAATACTGTTTTGGGTTACATATGAAACTGAATCACTTCTTTGTCACAGCAGGTATGAATTATTGATGCTCAGCTGAAATCAAGTCGTGGTGATCCACGGCATGGCGTTCGTATCTCTGTCCATTTAACTCCCATTTGAAACCTTAGCTGCCATTGACGCCTTAAATGTGTGAAGAGCCACCTGTAATGAGTGTGTCAAATACAATCTGTATTCTCCACTGGGGAGTGCGACCCCATTGTGACCATCAGTGGGCTCCCCGGGGAGTGCGCGAAAAGTGTGTCTACCCCGTGAATGTGTGAAGTGTGTGTGCGCGAAGAGCCAGCAGCAGGCAGAAGGCCAGGAGCTGTTGTCTGACACTGATTTGTAAAGGGAGACAATACGGCTCATTGACCTGCCCGGCTCCACTGTCTGTTGCACATACCTCGCCCGGCCCTCCCCGCTGGCCTCGCCGCTCTCTAAACAAGAGCAGCAGATTGCCACAGGGAGGGGAGACCGAAGGGGACGCAGGTTGCTTTGACAATGACAATCTGTGACGACAGAGAAGCTCAGAGCCAAAAGTTTGACGAACACATTTATAACTTCTTTTGAAATCCCTTCCTCTCCCCTGATAAATGGTGAGAAACGCAAGATGTGTGCAGTATTCAAGGTATTTTAACGTTTCCATCTAAAAAGTGCAAAAGCTTCCAAAAAAGAAATCTGTTTGCAACCCCACTGTCAAATATTATTTTTCTTTATTGATTAATTTGCAATTGTTTCAAAAAATGATTCTTTTTTTGTTTAGTATGTTTGCACGCAGCTGTTACATTGTTTCCTTACAAAAGAATCTAGAATCTATCTAGAATTACCTCATCAAATATCTTTGTTTAAAAAAAACGTTTGTAAAAACAAAGAACCTTTGGGGTATTCTCGCTTGAATGAACTGTGAGATTTTACTCTCATTTGATCTATCTTTAATTTTTAATCACTTAATCACAGTTCTCCAAATGCATCTGGGGACATAAGCAACTTTTTAGGATTGCAAACCTGCAAACCACCGACTCAAATCATTATACGACACAAAAATCCCTGAAACTGCACAGACAGCAATAACGGGACTGTATGTGTGAATGTTTGGGAAACTAAAAAAATATCAGAACTTGAGGATCTTTCTCTGACAGCAGGACAAGACTGAACATCTCTCCTCCCGTGCTCACGTTGTAAACAAACACTCTCATCCTTTTGTCATCCATGCCCATTG